GGTACTCGCGCAATTTAGCGCGGGCTTATCAGATCCGCTGTACTTCCGCCGCAATTTATGCTACTTACTTAGGCGACGTATACTATCTTCTGCTATTTATAAGAACGATGATTAATGATTGATAACCTGCGTCGGTAGATTCAATGCTAGTTATATTTTGGATTATATTCATGGATTATATTATGGAATTCCTGAATTTATGTTTCTCTCTGTTAAAAATTGTTACGTTTATGAAATCTTTCACATCTCTTCTTCGATCTTTCGACTCCAATAAGATTCTTCGAGCAATTTGGTGCCTGAGTTTTCTTTAACTGAAATAGAGAGGCAATGAATTAATATGACTGTAGCAATGCTTCAGGCTATCGATTCAGGTATTCTCTCCTTTCCGGTTTGTGAATTAATTTGAAAGAAAGAAGCAGTTTCTATGTGTTCATGTGCAAGTATATGCATACCTATACGGCGCACGATTTCTCGGTCCCGCGACAGCGGCCTCCGTTATAATTCTCCGTTATCTATGGAAATTCTAAACCATACTAAACAACAATATATATCCCAAAACTATGTAATTCCTCGTGCTTGCGCGTACACGGTATGCAATATGTGGTAGCGAGGGTTGCAAACTGGTCGCAGTACTAATTTGTTTTGTGCTGCCTTTTTGATAATTTATGATCTCTCAAACAAAATGCATTACCCATTAATTTCGAATGCGTCAGAAAACAATAATACTAGATACAAGAATAATATATTTGAAGATAGACAATTTAAAAAAAAATAACAAATGTATGTAAATAATTGGTAAATAAAAACATCAAAAGTAAAATTTTCTGAAATTATTAGCATAGAAAAATAGTAAGGTTTTAGATTTACAATTTTTAATTATGCAATATATATGCTTATAAACTTGTCGCTAAAATTAAGAAATTAAGAAATATTTCTTCTGATTTTACAAATATTGTATTCGCTAAAAGTTCATCATCATTTACTTTAAATTTGCCCACTTTGGAATAAATGAAAGTTTCAGTGGCATCTTCAGTGCGAGAACGTCTGTTACGCAGTATAGCGACGAAAGAAGGGGATGTAACGTAAGTCTTGACTTTCAACGTAAGAGTTGACGTCCTTCCAAGTCGTCCATATCTTAGGACAGCATGTAATCATACCAGTCCGCTATTACTTCCTATAACGCTATCTATGCCAGGAAACGCCATTGCTCGCTCGTTCCTACGTGGTCCAGGGACGCCGAGGATGATGAGATCTGCAGGCTTGCATCCTGATGAGACTATTAGGATGGCTTGATAAGTCCATAATATTCTGGTCGATGCCGGGCAACGCCGTCGACTCCACCCGGTGTCCTCGCCAAACCGCTACCTCCTCCTCTCTTCCTCTTCCACCTCTCGCTCGGCACCCAACTCCATTCCCTTCCGTCGTCGCCAACCCTTTTACGTGCACGTACGATGCCCGGCTTCGGTCGTAGTGACGACAAGATAGGTGACGCTTCCAATTTCCATCGACTTTGTTAACCTCGTACTGTGATCATTTCTCAGTTCGCAGGAGGCAACTTTGTTGAAACAAAGGATTTCCTAGAAAATGTGACATTTGTCTATGAATCATCTGTAAAATATATCTCAAAAATTCATCCTCTATTATCAGTGAATTTTTCTTTTGTCTCTATAATATTGTTATTTTAAATAATCGAGTTTTACTATTCTTTCAATATCGCATGAAATATTGCGTATATGCTGGAAATCTATTATACATTGCTTCTTACTAATTTTATTTTAATCATACATTTTATTTTTTAAATATTCTAATTTCTGGTTCTTTTTAAATACTTTTATAATTAAACAAATTTCGAATAATGAAGAATGTGATAAATAATACTATATTATTTAGTCTGTTTATTTTTGATATAATTTGTATTTTGCGTATACCCTTCTTGCAAGTTTAAAAGATAATTTTTAATCCATTTTTCGCAATATCAGGATATCTAAAGAAAACGTTCTTTAGAAGCTTTAAATGAAGAATCTTGTTCATGCTTGTGCCTCTTGCGGACGAACGGTCGATGTTGCGCCCTCGAAGCGGCTGAAATTAACTTTGAGCATTACAGATGTCGAGGCGCGCCGCGGCGAGAAGCTAACACCTTGTTAGCCTGACAAATTCGGTCCATCTCTCCTTCCTATCGTCCCTCACGACACTCGCCGTTTCCACCCATACTTTCCATCCCCGCGACAATATCCCAGTCAGCTTTTACTAGAAATTGAGGAAACTTGGCTCTTAACCCTTTAAATGGATATACGTAAATTTGCGATCCATCATGAGAAGTATGATATGTTGCGTATACGAAAGAAATGTAAGGAAAGTTCTATTTTTTGTTTCTTGAATAATCATCTGAGTCATGTTATTTATTATTTGCTTAAAGTATAAGCTAATTTTTGTAAATTGATCAACCGCCAGTTTTTTTAGTTGTTTCCTTCTTATGTGAAAAACGTGTCATACTCGATACGTCTTGAAATTTATTGTAAAATTTCTGTAGATTTGACAAAATTCGATGGTATTGTAATAGCGTCGCTCGCATTCGTAATAGCGTCGCTTGTGGCACGTATTTTGCGAGCCGGCTGATAATCGACTTCTTACGCTACATGCCAAAGCTACCCTCCGTCTTCATCGGTCTCCCGAAATTGGCGCGAATGGAATCCCGAGCAGCTGCGGGAGTTCTCGTCGTACGTGCGGAGAGTGTCGAGCGTCGTAGGACGTCGTCGCTTAATCGGGTCGTACCCTCTGCGATCCGGGACTGCCATCACCGTTCTGCCCTTTCTGGACCTCCGCGTCATCGCGCAATCTATGACGACTAGAAAGTGATATCGAGGATTTCGAGAACTTCACTCGATATTGGACGATTTCCAGGCACTTCCTTTGTACCGGGTTACACGGAATGGGGTGGTAAAATGGGAGGATGGCGCGGAGGTATGACAATTGTGGTGGCAGCTACGATACGTACCAGCAACGGTCGTGGGGTGAGAATGGCCGAGACACATCGTCGTGTTTGCGTCGAAAGGCGGAAGGGTAATACCATTGCGCGGCCGAGAAGTGCCAATATCCGGTCTGGGCTCGTCGGCGGCATTTAATTGCGTTAGTATTTCATCGCGAGAGTCCGCGCCGAGGAGACTTTTCAATTGGGGTCGCAGTCGGTGGAGCAGCCGGTTAAAACCTCTGGTAGAGTCAGACATGTATAGAGATAGTTAGAGACGAAGGTTGAAAACTACTCCTTATCGAACTTGCATGAAGAAAAAAATTTACTATTTTTAGCTTGCAATTAAACACAAACATCTATGATATTTAATAACACACATTTAAAAGAATTAAATTTCGCAAATTTAAAATTAATTATAAAATAAGTATAAAAAAAGTTGTAAATAACTACAAAATCATTGTTTATCTAAAAATGATAATATCGAAAAGAAAAATTGAGTGAATACAACAATATAAGATGTATGTGACGTATAAATATACAGAAAATTATTAGATATATTAATTATAAGCTGTTGTTTAATTTTATTTCTAACTCATACTTCTTTTTTCAGATACCAACAAGTAGCATAATGACGTTTAAAAAAATATCTTTAATGCAGAGGTAAGACAATTTGAGAAATACATAGATAAGCAGTTATATAATAATAAATTGTAACAAAGAGAAGAAGCGTTAATTTTATATTAGCTAGTTTATTCAGCTTATTAATCAGTAATCACTGCGCGGAAACAGATGTATAAGAATGTTAAAAAAATTAATGTACATATATTACTCAATATGTATTAGAGATTTTTGTTGGTACATAAATATTTATTAGTATTACATTAACAATAAAATAAGATAAATTAATTTGAATGATTTAGGATAATATATTTATATAGTCATTAATTTATGATATAAGTTAAAGTTTATAGGTTTGGATTAAGTTTTATATATAATTACTATTAGTACTTTAATTACATTGTGATTATATTAAAGAGATCGTCGCTCCCTTAATGCATATCCCTAAATTGAATGGAAAATAAAGATGTCCTCTTTCTAAATCGATCCACGCGTTTCACCTGCATTTATTCCATCCGGCTGACTTGGTACTTTGCGACGCATCGGAAGAGATTCAAGGGTGAGGAACATCAGCCGACGGTGGTTAGTATCCGGGTAAAATGATGTGAAAGCTTATGAAATGGCGGTCTAGTCCAGTGCGATACCAGCGTATAGTATGTTTCCACCTAGCACCCAGAGATAATACGACGGGGTGGTAACAGCCAGAGGTTTATCTTTGTAGGACCATAAAACTAACCCGTACGCTTGATGATGAGCGCTCCTCTGATACCAGTCTACAGCTCATTCTAAAACTCGTTTCAAATTTTAATCAATTAACAATTATTTTGAGATTTAAAAAGTTAATTTTCATTGCACGTGATTTATTTTTGACAAATTCTGCGAAATTTGACGTGCACGATCACAGTGAGTGACGAATGTTTAATTCTCAAATGACTGAAGAAATGAAACATCTTTCAAATATATTTATTTATAATTAGAATAATTTATAATTATTAAATTTCAAATATTCTCTATATATATATATTATATATTGTTACACAATAATGTAGATCTGAAAGATTGCGAGGCTTTGTACATGTGCAAGAATAATCGCTGTAAAGTCACACAAATTGACATTCGAATTGATATCGTGTGTCTGAGAATGCAAAGTGTATCGTGCACTTTGCCTCGACGGTGAAAGGCACGGTTGTCGAAAACGAAGTCGTCGACGGAGAAGTTCGCGACAGCTTGATATTTCGGCGACGCGTGTACGCCGCGATCGTAAATTGTAAAATCTATCAAGACCAACGCGGTCGACATAACTCAGGGGGGTTGCTATCCCGGTGGTATGAAGCATGGCGGCCAGACTCGGCATAAATACCCGGTTGCAGAACACTGCAGGAGCAGAGAGCAAGCCCAGACCCGTTGTGGCGTGGCAACATCATCTATCTCGAATAATTTATTATCGCGTGACTACCGCGTCCTCTCGAAACCCGGACAAGAACGCAACTATAGGAACTACGAACGGGAAACGAGTGTCGTGCATATGCGCCAACCCTCGACCTTCCATCAGCTGGGTTTCGGGATTGTGCACCTCGTTGCAGTCATGAAAGATGATCTTTCTTCTTTATTCACAAAAGACTTATGATTTTCATATTAATTTTTCTAATGTAGACCTTTTGGTATCGGGGTATACAGTAATATTAAGATCAAAGTAAAAAACTTTAATATTAAAAAATTGCATAGTCACAGTTCATATTACTTAACGTGTATGGAGATACACACGCAATACATACATTAAGCATAATTAGCTTTTTATTTAGTATTGATAAAGAACAACTTTCAAAGTAAAATATCATATATATTTAATAGAAAATATAATGATGTAATATCATTACGTTTATAAATTATGCGTGTATAAATTATCTTATAAAAAAATATAATGCTTATTTTACGAACGATATCAGCACTCGATATATAATATATATGTTTCGTAAATTTCAAACAAAATATACAATCTGCATTTGAATTTTCGGTTTACCTAATGATGTCTAATTCAAAGTTCGCATGCAGTAGGTACATAGAACGAACAAGTTGTGCACATCAAATGGAAGTTACATGGTAAGGACTAATTTGATTAATGTGCCGAAGGAATCGATACACATATAACATTAATATATATAACGTTCAATAGTTAAACGTAAAGTTTTATAAATAAAACAGTAAGAAGAAGTTTCATAAATAAAATTACATTCTTTAGATATTGGAAAATATGAAAGTATAACAAGATAATTAAGTTTCTTAAACAAAACAGTTTGTTTGATTATACGAAATTTTATTATAAGACGTTATTATATGATGTTTATATTTTATATAATGTATTCATTTTATTTATTCATTACTTTTATTCGAGAAATATTAAAAATTTAAGAAACATGACTAAAAATACGCCAAAATAATTTTTTTAGAACAAAATAATACGATAGTTAAAAAATAATACTATAATTTAATTTTATGATTTAATATTATATCAAATTATAGCGATTTGTCGATTAATATTTAAATATTATTTTTGAGAAGGCAAGCTATTAATTTAAGTAGTAAAATATTAAAAAATAATGCAAATAATTTTTTAAAATAGAATTTGCTTAGTGGCGCCATCCTACTGGGGGTTCGTGAACTCATACGTGCCCTTGCTCGACAAATGCACGCAAGGGATGAAGGGTGAAGAATAGCTTGTGCAAAAAATGCCAGTAGATGGCACCAGTTTCCTCTTTACGACGAAGAAAGAATCTTTTTTTGTTTTTTTTTTGTATCCCTTTCACATGCAGATCGCGCTTGTAAAAAGCGAGAGGGCGGCTCTGTGCAATTCTTTTTGCGCGCGGGAAGACCGCAGTTGAATCATTTTTTAAAGAACGTGATTTTTTTCACGCTCATGTAAAGGAATTGAACTGATAATATCATTACATATTTCTTTATCTCGATGCATCATCGATGATGCATCGACAAATTTTGTTGTTGAGAGGAGCTTCTTTGGGCAAAATGGCGATGCTAGGTGAATCGAACAAGTCGACAGCAAAATGGTGTATTCGCGGCGTCGCTACGTTTCCCCATCTTGGTATGCGGTTCAGATGTAGACACTGCGGAGGGGATAAACAAGGGGCAGTACCAGGTTGGCGGGCAGATTTTCAAAAAACCGGAGGGGCTGCGCGCGCTTCGCCTTCATTGATCGGAGGGCTGTGTCCGGCTGCCACCCTCTCCGCTGCACCACGTATGCAAACTATCCTCTTCGTTGGCCGGGCAGCCGAAGAGGGACTCGTTCGCTCTCGACTTTCAGGGCGGAGCCCAGGATTCTCTGAGGGTTTCTAACGTAAAAAAAAAATTTAAAAATTTTAAAATGAAAAAAATACAGAAAACTGTAAAAAATTTTGCTCGATATTCGTTGTATTTTTAATGAGAAAAAGATGGAAGATTAAGATAAGATCTGTATGAAAAAATTCTTAATTTTTTTTATTGCTGTATAATAAATTTCATTCATAATTTCAATAATACATTAATCGTTTCTTTATTACCGGAGACATTTAGAAATAAGATTTATTCTAACATCGTAGAAAGAGAATTTTGTGAAAGAATCGATGATAGACGGAAACTTCTTGTTGAACGCTTCGTGTTGCGGATGGGAGGGTCACAGCCGTTTAAGTATCAACCAGCTCAATCTAAGTTATGGGAAAAAAACGAGGAGCTTGGAAGTTAAGTACGGTGCATGGCAAATAGAATTACGACCGGACCGTCGTGGTCATTTCGGCGATTCTCAGTGGGCCGGGAGCTCGGTGGGTTGAAAATCGGCGAGTGAGTTTCTCATTACAGTTTCGGGAGGATTTCGAAAAGGACCCCCATGTCCGGCCGGTATACCGCAGCATTTTTCAGTCTAGGGGACCAACCCCTACTAGCTTCTCTGGACTCACTCGAGGGAGAGCAACCGGCGAGAGATAGGTGTTCGCAGCAGGGAAGAAGAGAGGAGAATGATGGAGAGTGAGCGAACAAAGATAGAGAAAGAGGCAGGGAGAAGGAGGGAGAGGTTGAGGTAAAGAGGAAAGAGGGAGCGAGAGCGAGTTAACCTAGCCTCAAAATTCCTGCATCAATTCTGGAGCCCCTCTAGTGTCTCACCCACCCGGTGCAATTAGGAACTACCCCTTCTATCCTATTCTGGCTCTATCCTCACTTCCCTTCGACCTCCCACCCCTTGAGAGCGACGGAACCACGTGATCCGGCAACTACACTCTTGTTTTTAGGGTGGAGGCTTGGGTATCGGTGATGGAGGGTGAGGGGCAAGAGACTGGAGTAGGGGGTGGAGGGTAGAAGGACGTTGGAAGAGGAGGTAGGAACGGGGCGAGTTGCCGGGTAGGAATACCACGTCCGTGTTGCCATGGTTACCGTAGGGGGTGGTTTATACTTGAAGGGTTACCCCCGTGGTACAGTCTCCGCAAAATTGTGAAAACTGCCGGCGAGCCGCGTCGTTATGCGGAAAAACTTCCGTTAACGGTACTCGTATACTTTTGCTAAAGCTTTTACCCAGGGGCTTTCCCTTTCGCGACCTCCAGTGTTTACATCGCTTAAACGTCTAAGACAATTAATGACCGGGTTTTCGGGGTTTTCTACCGTGATACTTAGCCGAAGCTCGCGTTCCGCCCAGTCAC